CCATGCTGGCCTCCAGGTCCCCAAGCCAGACCCCTTGGGTCCAAAGTATTGACAAAGCCCTTCAGAGTCCAGTCTACATGGAGCCTACCACTGTGCAACCACTGACCTCAGAGGACCAGGATGGCAAGGGAGAAGGGATCAGTCATGGTCAATCCCCACCTCATGCCCAGCCACATGCTAGAGCCTCACTGGGCACCTTTCATATACTGCTGCCTTCAATTTCACTCCAAGTTTGCGAGGAAGGCTCCCATTTTTCAGGTGAGGAAACTTATGCTCAGTGATACTTCAGCAGATGGGCTCTCTCTGGTCCAAGTGTGGCAAGTACATCTTAAAGTGGTGCCCACTGCCTTAGCCTTCAGAACTACCAGGGTAGGCACAGGTGGCCAGGGCCTCAAGGGAGGATCTAGGTTGGATGGTCAGAAGAGGCCTCTCTGGGGAGGTGACATTTGAATTAAGCTTCCAAAAAAGAATGAGAAGGAACCTGGGGGCAGGGGTAGGATTCCAAGTTGAGGGAACAAACCCAAAGGTCCTGATGTGGGGAAGAACTTGATGCTTACTAAAGCCATCAGGACACTGAGAAAGCTACTGTACAGGGAGAGAGGAAAGAGATGGCACAGATGAGGAAGGGCTGGTCGACAGGGTCAGGCCACCCAGGGATTGAGACTGGTGAGCAGCTTGACTTTATTCCAAAAGCCATTCCAGGGTTTAATTAGGTAAGAGATGTGATCTGATGTGTTTAAACGATCCTTAGGCTGTTGTATGAGGCCTGGATTGTGCGTTAGGGTGGGTGCTGAGGGACCTGTGAGGAGACTGTTACTATCATCTGGGTGAGAGATGGTGATGACTTGGACATAAGGGGTGGCCATTAAAGTGAAGTGGGAAGACTTGGGATGTGTCTTGTGAGGAGCCCACATGCCTACCAGTCCCCTCTTGGTCTTCGGCTGTCACGTAACTCTACAGCCTTTAGGATGCTGTTCAATGGACCTGTCTTCCCCAGCCTAGGCCAGGGCACTCTGCTGGGACCCCATAGCTCGGCCTTCATAACAGCTCTCCCCAGCCAGGGCATGGTTTGGGCTCTATTCATCCAATTCCTCCTCTCAGTGGGGCACTTCCAGAGGTTCTGGTCCTTCTGGGTGCCCAGTTTCTGACACCTATCTTGGTGGTTCCTTCTTACCAGGGCCAGTGCTCTCCCATCACTAACCTCCCCAATAAAGCCCTACTGCTGTTCCCTCTGTGGGGTGTGTGGACGGTTGGGTGGTGCTCCTATATTTAATGCATCTCTGCAAAGCTCCCCCACACCAAGCCAGCCAGACGTCAGCAGCACTTCCTTTCTCTGCCCAAGCCTTGCTCATATCCTCACTGTCTGCTCTCTGAAAGCTTATTCTCATAGCCCTCACCTGGGCCCCAAACCTTTGAGTCCAGAACATGACCTCGATCATCAGGAGCTCAAGCAAAAATCCACTACCTCAACTTGGCTCTTCCATATTTGAGCTGATGCCTGACCCCTGACTTGTGACATGCCCATGCATCAGTATGGCTGTGGAGATCAGGGACAGGGAAATACAGTTCCAAATCTCTGCAATAGCCAAAAGGCTTAGCAGTTTCTTTTTCACTGAAATAGAATTCACATACCATAAAATTCACCATTTTAAAGTGTAAATTTCAGTGGTTTTAGTATACTCACAGCTTGTGCAACCATCACTACTGTCTAATTCCAGAACCCCAAAATGAAACTCCATACCCATTAGCAGTCGCTCCCCATCTTCTTGGACCCTGGCATCACTAATCTGTTTTTTGTCTCTAAATATGCCTATGCTGGACATCTCATATAAATGGCAAAAGGCTCAGCCTTCTTCCAGACTATGAACTTGAAGTGAAACCCAAAGAAGGGCCACAAGAGCAATGTTGCCTCATATTCTTCTTGAAATGAGAATTTGTACCAGACTGACTGTCCTGCACATCCAGGAGCCTGAGTTTCCCTAAGGGATGCCTTACTTATCCCAGAATCCCCTCAAAGCCCAGACCAGGACAAGCTCACTGCTCCCTCCACTCACTTCAGAGAATATAAAATAAAACAAAAACAAGCAATGGTACTGGCCTTGGCCAGTCACTGTCTGCAAGCCTACAGTAGATGCCTAACAAACATCAATTGTAAAATAAACTTTGATCTAGTTTCCCAAAACGGAGATAAGAAGCTAAGTACTAAAAACAAGCAACCTGTTTTGGAAAAAAAAAACTTATCTGCCTAGTGGCAGTTGGCTGTGAGGTGGTCAATTACCCATTGAGCTCCCTGCAAGATTCAAGCCTGTTTTGAGAATTCCAACATGGCAGCCACATGGGCATTCCATCCACACATGGGCAGGAGGTCCCTGGCATGGGTTTTCTGTCCAGGGAGGTCAAACGCTTGACCATGAAATCCTCAGCAGAAATGTTGACCATGGATCCTCTCAGAGAGGACTGAACAAAGAGCAAGGGGGACCCAATTCTAAGAACTATGGGTAGGGGCTGGGCAATACGTCTGTCCTCCCAAGATGGGCTCAGGAAAGCATACCTAAAGAAATCTGCAAAGGCAGTTTTCGCTGTTGGCCCCCACAAGGGGCTCCAGACCCACTGAGAGTATCTTTTCTGGTTCCAGATACACATGAACCTTGAATCAGATGATAAATGTACTCCCAAAACATGGGGTCAATCAATTTTGTTTTCTAAAACCCAACCATATTTTAAATGTCTACACAACTCTTGAGTAATGCAAGCAACTATCCTTACTTGTAACTATTAGTTCATTTGTAACTATCAGATTTGCTTTAAAGAGTCCCCTTTGTCCCCCCAACCCTCGGCATTCATCTTCCCACCCAGTGTCACTACCAGTTAAACTCTTGCCTCTGCCCTTGCCCCAGCCCCATGGAACAACTGAGGCCAGGGCACAAAAGTCAGTACCAGAGTCTGTCCTCCTCCTCCTATGTTTCCAGAAAGCAGACAGTGGGAGGTGGCAGTTGGGTGGGGAGGAAGGCAAGGGAATTTGCCCCTCTAGAAGGGGGCATGACATATAGAAATGCATCTCCTGTAGCCTGAGAAAGACTCCAAAGTTGGAAAAAAAAAAAAAAAAAAAATCAATGACTAGGACAGGAGGAGAGAGGAATGTGCCCCTTCCCCCTTGATCCTGACTGCTGGAGTCCACCACCCACCTACTCTTTGACTAGAGTGAGTCAAAGGACACCAAATGGTCCCATCACCCACACCCTTATAGCAGAATAAGGCTCTCCCCTCCCTAGGCACTCCCACCACTCGCCCACACCATTCAAGGAACTCAGGAAATGCTGCCTTTCCTTGCATGGCTTTGGAGTCAAGAGAGGCTGGAGGGGAGCCTGCCCTACTGGAATGTTCTTGGGCCTGGGTCTTTTGTCTAATCATGGTTACCACAGTGACTCAAGCCCCTGTCCAAGCTAACTTGCCTGCCAGTTGTTTGGCAATAGCAGGTTATGCCAACCTGGCCCCAAATCTAATCGTAAGGGCTTATACCTTGCAGCAAAGAGCAAAAGCATCTTTATTAAGCATCCCCCCTTGCAGGGTGGAAGGTCTCTAGGGAGAGCCAGGGTCAGTGGGCAAGCCTCCTCTCCCTCAGTCTTGGAAGGAAATAAAACCACCTCATATACCAACCATTTGGGAGCAGAAAGTCAGATTCAGACCAATATATTTATTTTACGGATGAGGAAATGGGGGTCTAAAGGGCAAAGTGTTCATTCTAGAGTCGGCAGTCTGCTATCCTGGGCTTCTGGAGGAGAAGCCTCGGGCCTGCTATAGCATGAAACAACTCTCAGAGACAACTCTCCCCCCATTCCTTCTCTGAATCCTGGCAGTCACTCTATCCTCCCGTTAGATGACCACCACTATCGGCCATTTGAACCACTGGCCTGCATTTCCTGCTCTGTGCCCCAAGACCAGACCAATCAGAAGACTCCAAACCTTTCACAGAGTCTACCTAGCTCTACTCTTATTCTCCATTTCAGGCCAACAGAGGACAGTCTGAATCACTAATCTGATTTTTTACCCTCAAATGCAGTATTACTGCTCCAAAGCACTCAAGAGTAAGCTCTTCACACTTTAGGTCATCTGTATCAATAGGCAGAAAAACATGATTTGGAATAATCATGAAGTCTTTTCAAAGCTTTAAAACCAAAAACCAATCTCACTGCCATTGAGTGGATTCAGACTCATAGTGACCCCCGTTGGGTTTCTGAGGCTGTAAATCTTTACCGAAGTAGACCACTCCGTCTTCCTTCCACGGAGCAGCTGGTGGGTTTGAACCGCTTTTGGGTGCTTAAAAATATTTAATTCACAAGTTTGTTAAAACAGTCCCCTCACCAACATTATTGATTTGAAGCATCTCTGAAACCCTTCCTGATCCTTTCAAGACCAAGCCAGTTTCACAGAAACCCACTTTCCACACAACACATTCAAGGTCATCCTCTGGCATGGACACACATGCCAAAAAGGACAAACAGCAGAATAGAGTATTTTTCTCCTGCAAAGGCAGGAGACCAGAACCAGGTCTGCTTTTCTACCCACTTCTCCCTAGCACCAAGGCTCAGGGTTTGGTGGGAGAATGTTAACTGCACAGCTCTGTGCTCCAACCACATGAATAACACTACCCTCACAGGGAAGGGGATCTTCACTCCAAAGTTGTCTGTGTCTGCTGAAGAAGACCTCACCCCAGCATCACCCAGCACCAGGAGAGGGCCAGCATTTGTTTGTGATCAAGCTGGGAAAAGAAAAGCTAACAGATGGAGGGCAGGGGGATGTCCCAGGGTGGTACCTCCTTCCTTCAGCAAAGCTCTCCTTTTGGTTCAGATCTGTCTGGGTGTGTTCGGGGAAAAGAACCAGTGCAGAATTTTCATCTATCTATTTGACAGTAGGCAAAACTCACTTCTTGTCCACGACTCACATACCTGGTCAAAGAGGTAGCTGGCACAGGGCGGACACTGGCTGCTGAGGCCACTTACCAGTTGGGGTTGCGGCTGGGGGTGCTGCCCTGCTCCAGAGGGGGGTGGGTAGTGCATAAGCAGATTGAAGGCTGAGTAGACCGTCTCTTTGTACATGCCGCTAGCACACTCAGGGGCCTTCAGGCCTGGAAAAACCACAGCTGGGTCAGACACACCAGCCTGGGTCGCTGGAACTGAAGTCTATCTCCTCTTGAGAGGAAAAACTAGAAACTGCCAATGGGTTTCCCCCTTCAAGTTTGTGACTTGAGAAAGAACGGGCTAGGGGTGCCCAGGGTGCCAAGTTTTTCAAGAAAGACACCGAGCCCAGGCCTCCCTTAGGTGGCCTCTACTTGACTCCCTCCCTCCCACCCTGACCCTGGCCAAAAAACCTTGGCCAAAGCTTTCTCCTCAAGACAGGGGATTAGTCAGTCACCTGGGCTGGAGGGGAGGTGGAGATGGCGGGGGTCTGTTTACTCCTATAAAGGTCAGGGCACCGGAAGTGACTCGAGGCTGCCTGAGCCGGGGAAACCCGCCTCCCCACACCTTCACTTTTACCGCCTCCTTGAGCTGTGGTGGGGGGCGGGCAAGACAACTCTTTGGCTCCCTCCAGTCATGGGCGTCCCCCCTCTTCCACAGAGGCCCAGGCCTTAGCGGGAGGAAGGAAGGCTGGTCCATGAAGAAACTCACCGTCCTCCAGGGACTCTGAAAGTTTGTCGGGGAAATGCCTCTGCGAAGCGTGTTCCCGCCCGAGTGCCTGGAGGGAGAGCCAGAAGGGCCGTGAGTGGGAAGGATGGGGACCCCGAGGCCGCGGGAGGGAGCGGGCGGGTCAGGGCGAGCTGCGCGCCCCGGGCGGCGGAGCTCTGCATCCGCGAGCGAGGAGAAGGCGCGTGCCGGCGCTCACCTCAGCCCGAACCTCGGCCTCGGCGCCGGCCCCCGGGACCCCGGCGCCGCCAGCCGCGCCCTCGGATTCGTTGACGAGCGACGACTTGAGCTCTGCCAAGTCGCGCTCGGGGCCCGCGGCGCTGTCGCGGCTCTTGTCCTGCTCCTCGCCCTCGTCCTGGAAGGCCAGCAGCTCGTCGGGCGCGCCGAGGTCGTCCCCGCCGCCCGCACTGCCCCCGCCCGAGTCCAGCTGCGGCATGGTGCGCTCCGCCTGCCCGGGCGCCGGGCGCGAGGCGCGGGGAGTGCGCGGCGCGGAGCCGGAGAGCCTGGAGTCGGGACCTCCGAGCCCGAATCACAGCGGGTAGACCGCAAGATGACTCGCTTGGGCGGGCTGCGGGCGCCGGCGCGGGGCTGAACCGCTCCGGGAGCTGGCGGGTGGAACATCAAAGGCGCCGCCGGCGGAGTGCCGGGGGCGGGGCGTGGACGCCGGGGGCGGGCCTGGTCGGAGGCGGGGCCAAAGTGCTCCGCCCCGTCGCTCTCCCCGGAGAGGCCGAGACTTGCCCAGTGGGCATAGTCTTAAAGGGCTCGCTTTTTCCGTAGTTGACCCTCTGTGAGGCTTCAGAAGAAACTGCAAAGCATTTCCCTAAGGGACTCTAAAGTAATTCTTCATCTACAGCAAGTGATTACCGCACTGTATCCATGTTTCTTTCCCAGCTGCTGAGGGCCTCCACCCAAGGCCCTTCTGGTTTCCGAGTGGCTTGGAACGGGAGCCAAGCATGGTGGGAGCTGCATCTGAGCCCCTGGCCCAGTACCTCGCTTGCGTGGAAGTGGGAGCTTCCTAGGATTGCAGAAAGTTTGAGGCTGTGCCTGGCTGTGCCTAGCTGGCAGGGTTAGACTTCTCAGAAACCCCATTCTTTGCCTCACCCATGAGCACTTTCCTCACCTGCCACCGCTGGCACACAGCGCGAATATAAGTATATCCTCCGCATATGTAGAATGCAGGGCTCATACATCACACATCTGTGATGGGCTGTACCTCCTTTCCTCCCACAAGCCGATCTTCCTCTCGCTCCCACTTAGATTCTCTAAACTTCAGTTTCACACCTAGAACCTGCAGCCCCGATCGCTACTCTACTCGATCGCTTCTCTACTCGCTACTCGAGGCTTGGAGCAGCCATGTGGGCGACGGGATTTGGACCAGGGCTCTGTCGTGTGCAGCAGCTCGACCGGGAAATTGCATATCGAAGTCCATGGCGGCCCTTGGTGAGATCTAGGCTGTTGGGTCTCTAGCGCACGGAACATGAGAACGTGGTCGAGCTTCCAAAGCATCTACACAGCACCGAGGCCTCAGCTGTGTCCACAAGGCCTCTCAGTATGCCTGGTCTTGGCTTAGCCACTGTGTCTACGAAAGACACACACCCTTTTGGAGCGCAGTACGGTAAACCACAGCCCCCAACACGTTTCTGTGCTGGATTCAATGTTGACGCTCCAGCCTCTCCCTAGAGCAATTGGGGTGGAGGTTATGGGGAGTGGGTTGCGAATTAGGTCTCTCCCAATCAGGGCCCCACACGGGACCCCTAACTGTTGCGCTAAGCCTGGCCGGAAGAGGGCCGCAAGGCCCCTCTGGGTCTAAGCCCAGCTTGGTTGGCTACAGATGAAAGAACCTGAGGATGCTTCTCAGTTGAGATTCCATCTGAAGCCCCGCCCCCTACCCCCAGCGGGATGCCTCGACACCCCCTACCCCCACCTCAGGGCTGTGGTGACCACTTTTCCTTTCCTCTGTGGCCTCGAGGAGGTTGAGGAGGTTGGGCACTGGAGCTCACCCTGACGGTGGAGCTGGGGATAAGGCCCAGTCCACAGGGTCTCCCTAGCCTCTTTCCCCAGGTGTAAGTACACTTTCTGCTCTGTCTCATTCCATCCCTTCAGGGAGAGCCAGGTTGGGGTCAAGCGTTAAGAGGGAGACCCTTCAGCTTGGGAGCTGGGACCACCACACTACCCAGCCCATCTCACAGTGGGTTCTGTGGTCCAGCTCTGGGTACCTACAGAGCAGGAAGGAAAGAAGAAAACAGCGTGAGGGGCCCCAGGTCACACACACACACACACACACACACACACACACACACATTGCAGCTTCCCCACCCCTTAACCCCTAAGGCTTTAGGGTCAGATTTTGGGATGAGTTGCCTCTGCAAAAACTGAACAGGAAGACTCATTTGCCTCATCCAAAGTAAAAGGCTTTGCGCTCCTCCTGTCTTTGTGGGTGATTCCAGCTCAGTAGGAGCCTTCTTCAGAATGGAGGTCCCCAGACCTAGGATGTCCCAGTGGACAAAAGGCAGTGGGGATCAAAGGTTTTTCCGGTCCATGGAGAAAAAGAAAGTCAGGGCAACAGTGAGGCTTTATTTGTTTTTCTATAAGACTAAATTTATTCACCTTTAAATATTAGCCTTTAATCAAAGAGTATGTCCTTTGTGCATTATTGGTATGAAAACAGCTTTCTTTACTAAAATGATGATAATAGATTAATATCCTTATTTGGCAAAAAAAGAACTTGGCCACTCTGTTCATCCTCCCACCCTCAAGTTTCTTTGGACATTTTATAGGGTTTGAAATCCCAAAGTCTGAGAACCACTGTTCTATGGGGTCTGGGTTCTAACACTTTTCCTTGCTGGATGGAACCAGGGGAACGGGTGAGTGAGTAGGGAGAACAGGGCTGTGAGGAGATGAAAGGAGGGAGGTTTGGGCTGAGTCATAGGCATCCACAGCCATACCGGAATCAGTCTACAAGCATAATGTGGGAGCACCCACTGTGTACCTAGCCCTGGGCTAAGGCCACGGGGAGTGAAGAGGAAGTGGGTGTCCTGTCCTCTGGGAGTCCCTGGCTGCTTGAAAAATTAGAGCAGAGTTTAGTGCTGAACTAGTCTATACAGACTGGCAGAAGGAGCTCAGATACGATGATATCAGTGTGGGCAGAAGGTCAGGGTGGACCTTTCTGGCGGAGGGAAGACTGAAAGATTTGGTAAGGCTTGGAGAGAGAGAAAGGAATAGAAGCTTGAGCTTGTCCCCAAAGGTAGATGCACCCCACAGGAGCCCCTTGCCTGTTTATCCCTGATCCCATAATTATCATAATAATCATCCACACAATAACTTCATTTTACTAATTACTTTACGCTAGGCTTCATGTCAATAGCTTCACACACATTATCTCATTTGATCATTACATCAAGCCTATAACATAGAGACTATTATCCCCATTTTGCAAATGAGGAAACTGAAGCTCAGAGAGGTTGAGTAAGTCACTCAAGGTTGTACAGTGTAGAAGTAAGATTCAGAATTCCAAAGCTAGATAATTTGACTCCCAAGCCCATATCCTAACTTCCATATTCTAACATTCCATTATGACTCCTAAAATCCCAGGATTAGTCTTTATTTGTTTTTGTAGCAGACAAATGCTGATCAATGAGCTGCCACTAATAGCCCTGACATCCTGAGTGGCCCTTGGTGCATGAAGGGGTGAGCAGGAGGATTAAGGAATCTCTCTGGATGTACTTTAGGGAGTAGCCCAAGCCCTTTGCTGGATGAGAGGACCCAGAGACTCTATCTTGAGCCTAACAGACCTCAGCTTGTTCCATCTCACTCCTGAGCCCACCCTAGGCTGCCTACTCTAAGCACTTACTCATATTTAACACAGAGACAATAAACCCCAAAACCCACTGCCACCGAGTCGATTACAACTCATAGTGACCCTATAGGACAGAGTAAAAACTGCCCCACTGGATTTCCAAAGCTGTAATCTTTGTGGAAGCAGACTGCCACATTTTTCTTCCGTGGATTGGCTAGTAGGTTTGAACTGCAGACCTTTCAGTTAGCATCCTGGAGTTTAATTGCTGTACTACCAGGGCTCCTTACAGTGACAGTAGGCTCTTCCATGGAGTGATGAGTGGTATCTGCTGTGGCTGCCCCCTAAAAGTGACCAGGGAGCTTTAGGACCAGGACCAACTATAGGGAAGCCCCAGAGTCTTCTGGCCTCATTCAGCCCAGGGTTAGAGCTGGTAATTTAACGAGGCTTCATCTCCATGCAAATGAACCGGGTGAATATGAATTGTTCTTAGATGTTGAATGTAGGACAAGTCAGGGCTCTTGAGAGTTGAGGGCCAGGGAAATAGCACTCAGGCTCTGGATTTAGACAGACCTGAGTTCCCATCTCTGCCGTGACATTTTCTGGCTGTGGGAACCCAGGCCAAAGGTCAGTCCTCTCTTGGCCTCATCTTCCTTGTGGGTGAAATGGGTATCATCCCCAAGCCTGCTTCCCACTGTTGGAAGGAAGTTGAAATGAGTCATTGTACCCTAGAAAAGAGCTTAGCACAAGGCTTGGCACATTCCGAGTGCTCTAATAATGAATGCTCTTGAGCTAAATATTTTTCGGAAGTTGTTAGGCTAATTGGCTCTTCATGTTACGTCATGTAAATCATCTGAATGTTCTCATGGCCCGAGCCCACTTAATCACAGCTAACGCTGAAAATACACATTTCCTTTCCTTTTCTTTCAAGTTCCTTTAACATGAAAGGCCTACATGAACTCCCTGACCTTTTCTAACAGGGAGACCCTTGAAATGTGGCATTTCCAGAAAATGGCTCAAAGGAGCCCCAGATGGATTTGGTAAATTACAGCGGGGAGATGTTTGGAGCAGCCTGTCTTCCTGCCTGCTTGCCTGCCTGCCTGCCTGGCATCCTGTTGGGGCTTGTCAAAAGCTGTTGGGGCAGAAGCACTTCCCAGGGAGTCTTCTTTTTCAGGGCAAAGCCGGGTCACAATTTCCAGAGGCAGTCTGTGGTTTGTTACTAGAAGCACAGTTCGCTATCTGGAAACTCTGTGTAGTTGCACAGAGTGTGTACATGTGTATATGTGTGTCTGCATGTGTGCATGTAGGTGGTTGTGACCTGCATAATGGCAAAGATACAATTGCTGTGATGGACCAGGTACTGGGCAGCTGCCTTTAATAAAATGAAGCAAGAAGGGCATGGGGTCATTTTTGTTTCCTTCTTTATAACTTTCAGTGGGGTCTTCCTTTCGGACTTTATGCAACAACCAGTAATTACTCTTAACATAAAAAATAATGGAGCAAGAAGTTCGTTGTTCCTCATGAAACCTTGAAGAAGTTTGGCCAAACTGGCTTGAAGGGTGATGATGAGGAAATTACAAGGAGAGCTGTTCTTCGTGTAAGAGGCCTTGTTATTACAATTTCCCATGGACTAATTTTCCACA